AAACAAGGACTGCCAATCCCAGAGAAGTGACTAGCCCAGGACAATATCATAACTAGATTAAAACCCGCACCTCCTGACTCAGGGCTTTAGGTTTTAGAAACTAAAAACTTCTAAATCTCTACCTTTCCTACTGTTTTCTAAACTCTGGACTCTCTTTTCAATTGTCTACTAAACATTTTCATATGAATATTCTAAAGGCAACCTCATTTATTCAACAAACACATACCCAGTGCTTTCAACATCTTCCTTCAGTGATACTGTTCTCAGTTGGTGTAACCACACACATACACACACCTCTAGAAACTAGAATCACTTTCCCCTACCCTGACTCAGATAACAAACCCACCTAAGCCAAGGCTGGCTGCTTGAAAGAGCAGATGGCTCTATATTTAACCACAGACTATCTGGTGCTTCGGGAAAATAACAGAAGGAAGGTACGACTCCTTGCCACTCAAAATTGAGAGGCCTAAAAATATACATAGCTGAGAATTAGACCATGCAGCTCCTCACAAGATGGGCTGAGGAAATAGTGAGGGGCAGTGACAGTTTTTTCTCAAAAATTCTGAGGTCCCCTCCAATTCATGGGTAAAGGATCATCAAGGACTCAACGCCCAGTGTTCCAGGCCACCTGCCATATAATGACTAATAATTTTATTGTAGAGTTTTTAAAAAATTGAAACATTAGCGGAAGCTTACTCCAACCATTAAAAACAATCGCAAAAGAGCATTTATAAGACACTTTAAGCAATATAATCTCCTGGTGAACCTTTCAAGATGATAAACTGGTTGCAAAATGTAAGCCTCAGGTAACAGAACAGGTTGACCTGCCATGTAGGACTGGTAACTAACTATAATCAAGTTAAATACCACAGGGTGTCTATCAAGAAATATCTTTAGTTTGGGAATAAGGTTGACCTGCCATGTAGGACTGGTAACTATAATCAAGTTAAATACCACAGGGTGTCTATCAAGAAATATCTTTAGTTTGGGAATAATATAAAACTTCTTCCCAGCAAGAATCCTGTTAGGTCAGTTTAGCAAAGTTTAGTTTCCCCTGCCCTCTTAGGAATTTTTCATCCACCAAGCCCTCCCACCATGCTACTTGGCTATAAATTCCCATTTGTCCTTGATGTATTTGGAATTGAGCCTGATCTCTCTCCCCTACTGCAAAACTGCATTGCAGTAGTCCCCCTGAATAAAGCCAGCCTATTGTCTTTAACAAGTGTCAGAATCATTTCTTCTTTAACACAATCCTCCTGCACTTATGCTTTTTCAAGGGCTGGGCAACTCCAAAAGCAGAGCAAGTCTAACCTTTAGGCTTTAGCACTGTTTCTCTCTGCTTCCCACCTGGTTACTGCCTGTGGCCCTCAAGATTCTCTTATGACATCTCCAGATAACTTAAACCCTCTGTCCTTCAAATTTTGGGGGAATCTGACTTAACAAATCACTCAAGTTTAGTTATTACTCTTCTCAGTTGCTTGCAGAGTTCAAGAGAAATAGTGAAAGGACCAAAAAGCAGGAAGCAGAAAGGACTTGAACAACTTACAAGCTAGATCACTGGATCACTGTCACAACAAATACTTAACGGCATT